TAGTAACATGTCCCTTTTTGTCCTGCTTCTTATCAATTCTTCTAAGGTTATTTCAAAGCATGTTCTATTATATAGCCTCTGTCGCCATCATGTACTTTTACAATGGTTGTCGTAAACTGAATGTTCTATCTATGTTCTCCTTATTAAATCAATATACGGACTTTGAAAAAATTGTTTGATGCAGTTTCTGTGTCATTAAATGGTAATTCACATTCGATTCGAGGCACATAAGTCTAGTGGTAGGACGCCGGGCTCGTCACTGAAGGGTTGCGGATTCAAGACACGTCTCAGCACTGTGTTTTATCAATTAGAAAGATACTTTACTTCGCTTGTGTCAGTCTACTCAGTTGTAAATGAGTACATGGTTGGGCATTGCTGGAATTGTTGAATGCTAGCTGTGAGCGCCTAAATGGTACCACCGGCTGTATGAAAAGGCCCTATAACCACGGATAATAATTTAAGAACCGCTTTGAGATGACCTAAGATCTAGGTTGTGATAAAGCGGTATATATGAACCACGAACTATTATTATTGTATTACTATAATTGACTACTACCATAATATACTATGTACTATACAACCAATTTGTTTGATATTGATGTTTTTCGTGTTTTATATATCAACTTTCTTGTTTGAAATTGGTGTATTTATTTTTATGATCGACTACTTTAAGTGTATTCTTCTCAGAGTGACAATAACAAATGGTTTCAGGGTGGAGGAAGTGGATGGAATGAAGGGGGTTGTGGGGATGAGGGGACCTAATGTATCCCTCTCATCATATACATGTAATCCCATTATGCGTTTCTGATTGGTCTCCATGCAGAATCGAGTGTTTTGTTATTGTTAGGGGACCTTACACAGATTAAAATTGATACGCTGCCCCGTTTGCAAATAGTAGGACCTTTTTTTTCGGTGATCTCTTCCTACGTATCAATACCTTAGAATTAGCGGGGAGGTAAATCCTGATTGAATATTTGAAATAAATATTTAATCGAGACTGTACATATGGATTATTTGTTTGTTGGGTTTTTTTCCCCCGTTTTCACAATAGACATCTAAGGCCACTAAAGACGGCGTCCAAATATGCTTTGGCCGCTTACATCGTTTCATATTTTACGTAAGATTTGGTCCATTTCTTATTGAACGTCTATTTGTAGTTTGATGTGTGGTCCTAAATGACGTAAATTATCGATCCGTAGTAAACAATAAAAAAACCCATAGAAACGCTGAAGTGTCCCCCCCTAACTAAAACATCATACCTGACTACAGCAGCACGATCGTTCACCTATCTGATGAAATGTTCATCAGAATAGTATAGGAAATCTTCTCCGAGGATTCTTAGCAGGAGATACAGAAGATACATTAATTCCCTAAAACTATTATCTAAAATCATTAATGCATAAAGATTTGGTTTTCAAATTTTCTAAAACTGAATTCGCAAAAATGTGTAATGATTGTGCCTTCTTTCATCTCTGTATATTTGAAAATAATTGTAACTGCATAGCACTTTATTTTCGCAGAATGAAAAAAAAAGGGAAATTTGTTGCATTTGTATTCTTTATACTCCTTTATATCTATATCAGAAGGGTTAAATCATTCATGAGGATTAATTCGNAAAGTCATAATACTCCATCATGTTTTCTTTTTATCCCGTATTTCAAGCGCCATTGGTAATGTCGAGGAGTATAGTTCACCACTGTACCAGTACTTAAGGTAGGAAGGTGTAGGAGAAAGGTCATCAATCACCCCTGTGTGGTGCAGATAGAGTAATCTCCAACTGAGGGTAAGCCTTTTGATGTTCCATTAAACACTTGATTATGATGCATGTATGGAAGTTGTCGCCGAAGCATACACAAATATATACGTTGATATAGGTACTTTTGTGTGACTAATATATATCCTGACATCAAAGAAATGCTAAACAAAAGTCACACAATGTTCAGCACATATTATTCGCCGGAATTGCTTTTCATATATTCTCAACCAGAAGTATTTAAGCAATAAACTGCATAGATGTGGCAGACCAACTGGTATAACTGCCACATGTGTCACAGACAAACTTATCATGGTGCGCTAGCGCGCACCATTCAGTTTGTCTGTGACACATGTGGCAGTTATACCAGTTGGTCTGCCATATCTATGCAGTTTATTGCTTAAATACTTCTGGTTGAGAATATATGAAAAGCAATTCCGGCGAATAATATGTGCTGAACATTGTGTGACTTTTGTTTAGCATTTCTTTGATGTCAGGATATATATTAGTCACACAAAAGTACCTATATCAACGTATATATTTGTGTATGCTTCGGCGACAACTTCCATACATGCATCATAATCAAGTGTTTAATGGAACATCAAAAGGCTTACCCTCAGTTGGAGATTACTCTATCTGCACCACACAGGGGTGATTGATGACCTTTCTCCTACACCTTCCTACCTTAAGTACTGGTACAGTGGTGAACTATACTCCTCGACATTACCAATGGCGCTTGAAATACGGGATAAAAAGAAAACATGATGGAGTATTATGACTTTCATAATTAGCGGTTACAGTCATTTAACGTTTTCAAATTAGCTGAAATATGATAACTGTTATCTTTTTTTGAAAGTTTGGGTTATGGGTGAACGTCAATGTAACATTTAACAGACCAAAATGTATTTTTTAGGACAAATATGCCTACATAATAACGGGACAAGCTAATGTTGTTCAACATTTTTTCCGAAACGTTGTGTATTGCTGAAGATGATCCACTGCAAGGCAGTCAGCAAGTCTAGGTGGTAGTCGGTCAGACCAAGCCATAGCGTAATCAATTAAGTTTAATAATATTGCCAAGCAGATTGGATGCTTTTCAACCCCATATATTTTGGTATGAAATATTGGTTAAAAAAGTCCTAAATCAGTTTTGTTCTAGCTATATCTCATACGATTAATGCTATCAAACTAAATCAGCATATTGTCTTGTTCATCTTCCATCATCTATAGGCGCCTTATCATTGAGAAAGAAAATTGCACTTGAATGAAATTAGTGCAGATGAGTTGACTTCCCCACAATGATGACGTCACAAGTAATACAGAAAACTCCTTACCCGTTCGGAACTCTTACTCATGCTTTCTCTTTTTTAATTTATTTATTTCTTATTTCATTTCAATTTTTTTGTATATATCTATTTTATCTTAATTTGATCATTTATTTACACTGTTTGCATTTTTTTATTATTGTTGATTTTGAAGTGCTTCAATTTTTTTCTCTTTTGTTTTAGTTTATAATCGGTTCCTCTTGTTATCATTTTGTATCGACTTCCGGTCCCTATTTTCACTGGGTACGTTAATGCTATAATATTAAAATTTTGTCCTGTTAACTTACATTTAATTAAAGTTCTCTACTATTATGCTGGACATTTCTTGTTATTATGGGGGAGAAAATGAAAAAAATAGATATTCTTCTTTATTTGAATTCTGCTGTAGTACCGTAATTATTGCATCGTTTTCAGCGCTGAACGCAAGACGACACTTGTATTCCAATTAGGACGAAGAATTTCGGTATAAGGAATTGCTGTTTTATATTATAATTTCCTGCATATTTCCAAACAATATTCTTTAACGCAAAACATACTAACACAATACCTTATATCAGAATACACAAAATGCAGGCAAACCTCATGATATTTTTAGCACATAAGTCCGGATATATCAATAAAAAGACATTTCTAGTGCAATGAAATTGTAATTTTGTTTATGTTAGCACGGTTCTTTGGGATAAAAAAGTTACTTTGGAAGAGATTATTATCAATTGCGTGAGAAATGGAAATTAATTGATGATATTTTCATTCATAGTTTAGTATAATACGGACATTCGTTAAATTTGCGTTTCTGGATCAATCGTAAAGACCTTAAACGTCGCCATATTGATTCTGATTCATTGGTTGTTTTTGTGATATTGTAGGACAAAATAAACAATTGATAAGCATAACACTGAACAATAGTCATGTATATTTCGAGTATTTTAAACATCAGAAGACTGAGACTAAATCAGGATTACCAAAGTTTCAGCTAATTAAAATGAAATGGTATACGCTTCAAGTACGAACGCGCGAGTTTAATTTCTAACACGATCTGAAATTCGTCTTGGAATTGCGTCCTGTTAGCTAGTGCGCCAGCAGCTGTAACCACAGTGCTATGAGATAGTGTCACCAGTCTACATCAATCACCTGTAATCCCGAGGCGTGGGGAGCGCGCGCGCGACAAAGCTATGCTGCGAGAGAGGCAGGCGACCCGAACATGTTGACATGGGTAATGGGCAGCATCCGATGTTCGGTGCAGTGATATCAGTAGGCAGCATGAAGCTGGAGATTGAATACTGTGGCGAGTAGACTTGACAGGTTCATTATATTGAATCTATGAGGCCAATACAGTGTTCTACGAGATAGCAAATGGAGCACGGCAGTAGCTTATAGGACATAGACCAGAACGGCAATCTTCTAATTTCGTCCCGGTTTGGTGTTGAATACACTCACACCAACATCCACGTGCATACTTGACAGGCAAGTCTATTACATGGAGACATTTCATTCAAAACTAACAAATTCTGGGTGGGTCTCGAGGTATAGAAGAAATTGAATACTCCTTGCAATGCATTGACAAAATAATTTCATTTCGTTATTATTTTGTCCTCGATATGGTCGAAGAAATCACGGGCAATGTGACAAATAATAAGTTATTGAGACAGAACGTTGCCTCCCTGTGAACCACTAGCAATTTGTGATGGAGGCAAGCAGCCTAGTCTGTCGTTGCTATACCGCGTGTTGTCATTGCAGAGTCTCGACTTAGACGCAGTGTGTGAGCCTCGCACGAGGCTATATGTAGCTGTAGCAGCAACACAAACCAACAACATAACGTCAAAGTAGGGAATCTTCCGTGACGGACACCACAGCGGGAATGATTCATTTCAATAACAAATCAGTTTGTTCCACGTTTAAATGGATCCGCTCTTAAGGTAGATAGTCTTGTTTTTACTCTGCTTTATTACGCGAAGAGGGTAATAGGATTAATCAATAACGTATCTACAAAGGAATGACGTTCAACTCTAAGCATTCTCGGGCTCATATTAGCGTTCGGTATCGTGATGTAAGCACAGATGTTATATATCGGTTTAATGCTTTCATATTGTGACGCTGTAGTCCTGAAATCAGTGTACCCGGTCGTCTGCTAGCAACATCAGGATGAACGGCTTTCTGCTTCAGTTGTCAACTTTACTTTTTCACCTTTTATGTGTCAGCGAGTCTTTCAAAGGGAGAATTCCCATCGGTAAGTTTGTTGTTTTCTATTTTAATTTCTTTTCTTTATTTAATTCTATCGAGAACAAATTCAGATAAATTGATATTATATTATATACAACTTCAAATTTGTTCGCGTAAATTACCAAATTTTATTATCAACTTGGCTTAATATCAAATAGGACGTACTTGTGTCTATACGTCACTAATACGTATTCGTTGTTTTATAGCTAGTCACTGTTTTTTGTCTCTCGTCGTCTGTCGTACTTTTTTTTTAACTTTGTGTTCTTTTACAAAACAACACAAGTAAAATATATTGAAAAGCCCACATGTGTGCATTTTAACGCATGATTTGATCATGATTGTCTCTAATGCATTATGATCGTTTGCAATAAGCAATTTAAGAAGCAGTTTTTTTAATTAGATTTTACAGTACTTGCTCATTAGAGATATATTAACCATATAGGACAACATGCATGTTTATAAATAATAAAGAGAAACAAGTACGTTCACGGAAAGACAAGAAAGCGCTTGGGAAGAATTCGAATATTTTCATCTTCTCTCTATCATATATAAATTACAAAAATGATTTTTTTAATGCAGCTGTACATATATATAATTTGTGTCCTTTATTTCGACAAACGGTTGCTTCTTTTTTGATTTTTTAACATACATTGCCAACTGTTAACATTATCTCGTGCTATACGTTTGCGTGACTTTTGGCTCTTCACGCTCTCGCTGTGCCGAACGTTGTTTGCAATGTGCCGCCTCTCTCTTAAACAAAGTAATGGTGTTTGGGTCGTTTTAAACAAGATCAACTTGGAGAAATTGCATTTCGTAGTCATTGGGGAATCGTTGCGATAATAAAGCGAGTTGCAAAACCACTGATAATGAGAAATATATTTTTATTTGAGGCCAACACTACTGGAGATGAAAGAAAGCCCGTTTGTTATCAAAACGACATTTGCGACCATTTCTGACTTCGTGGATATCTGTTAAAAGAACTTTTAAATTGTTAATGTTTCTCTGTCTAAGACCTTGTTCTGACGTATGACTCTCTAGGTACAGTATCACGCCTTCCTTTGTTCGTTTTAGGTGCTATCTTTGATACTGAGGACGTTCAGACCAATACGGGCTTTCAATATGCTGTTGCCCACAACAAGAGGAAAAATAACGAAAAGTTTGAGTTATCTGCCCTTGTTGAAGTAATAGATGTAGAGGACAGCTATAAACTAGCAACGTCAAGTAAGTTTGCTTTTTCTTCTTTTTTATCTCCAATGATCAAAATTGGTTTCCTCACTACCAACCCTTTGGATAAACCTGCTGGTGAATATTTTTATGGCTGGGTAACAACCTGGTCGTGATTTCATTTGTCAATCTTCTAATTGCGACATCAAGTGGACCAATGAATTCGATGTCATGTTTTCATGTGACGTCATAATTCATGGCAGCGGATTCCAAAATCTGAAAGAGGAATAACGTATTTCCAAGATAAACTTGAGGATTTCTTGACATACATGTTATATGAACTTAATTTGAGAAAAGGGCAAAAGACTCGTGATAGTTGATTACCATGTTTATATATTTCTCATTAGTTAATTTTCGAATTGTAAGACGCTTTATAAATGTATAGTCCTAGAACAAGTTAAATTAGAGACACACGCTTACCAACTACCACTCGATGGAGAATCATAACATTCCATCTTTCAACTCTTTGCACAACATTGTTTCCGCTTCACCTAGTGTAGTTCATCAACAAGTCGAATCCTATTCAAGTATTTTAAATCATTTGTGGGGGGAAAATATCAATAAACGAGCTAGACGTACATTTTATACTCAATACATTAGTGAGTTTTTAAATTGATCCGAGAATATATATTGATATAATGTTACAGCATGCATGAAACCCGAAAATTTCAATTATAAGTCAAGAATATATATACGCATATGCAATAGTTTACAATGATGCCAAGAAAAGTGACTTCTGCATTCTTGAATGTCAATCTATTTCGTTCATATAAAAACCACATAGCACACTAAAACGCCAATTGCATAACGAAAATTTCACTTAAATTTTCATATCGATCGAAGATGTAGATATATATAAAAATAAATTTATTTTGGCTGATATATTGTCATTTAACGACTAACCTACCGATGCGGTATGAAGCATCGTTTCTAGGAGAAAGCTATTGTAGTGATTCGCAAATCATGTTTCCGGATTCGCAGTCCGGTTTTCAATGCGTTGTTTAGATTCGATCAAGTATATTTAAGCCGTAGCCTTCTGAGATTACGTTGCTCACTGGAGCAGTTGAAGAGCTGAGAAGAATAAGTCCCCGGATAATTCCGGAACACTTGCAGTTGTTTTCCACATGAATTCCCCTGAAAGGATGTCACTACACATATATTGACGAGTAATAGACGCGGTATATTGAGCCGAAACGGTAATAGGCTAATAGAGAGGAAATGGAGCGTGCATGGCTTGAGTCGGCCCAGGGCGATCCTAACGTATGTGGGAAGATATGCTTACATGCTTTATCGCCTATAACACACTGTGTGTGGTAACCTTATACAAGCTCATACAATTCCCCAATTACAGATACGCACATATAAACAGATGACCCACCGATAGAATAACGTAATGTTCGTTGATAAACAATTGTACAGGGCAACCAAGATAGTAGAATGGTACTTTGGGCATCTGGTGGAAAATGGAAGACAGAGATACATACACTTACTCAGTATTTTTGTATTGAAAAACAACAATTATCCCCTGATACACGTAATCTGTATACATGTATTTGTTTTTCTGTTTTAACAATCTCAAGATTGATTTATGCTTCGTTTTAAAAGAAATCCGCCAAGTGGTTAAGGCGTTTGACATTCTGATACCACTAGCCCTCCACCACTGGGTCGCTGGTTCGAGGCCTACATGGGGCAGTCGCCAGGTACTGGCCGTAGGTCGTTGGGGGTTTTCCGGGAACTCCGGTTTTCCTCCACCACCAAAACCTGGCACGTCCTTAAATGACCCTATCTGTTAATAGGACGTAAAACACAAAAACAAAAAAGGCAACAGAATAATAGGAAAAACAGAAGTAAAATAAAAATAAAAACATATAAAATGGAAAAATATGTACAGGGCAATGACGTATAAACCGCAGTCGACATCATGTCCTCCAGAAGGGTAAGTGTTTCCCGCCCAATCTGTTGCATCCAACTTACCTTCAATGCGTTTTAGCTCATTCTTAGTTATACGTCATGTTAGTGTAAGCCATCATATAAGAAGACTATTTCCTAATAGGTTAAGGTAATTGCCTCGCGGCAAATATTTTGGTATTTTGTTATAAATCAATTTCACAGGAGCGGAAAAGGAATCGACGTATTCCGTCAGTCGCTTCTTATTTCTCTTTCATAATTAGGACCTTATACAGCAAAGGAATGTACAATAATTTTTTGGTGATTGTCGCACCAGCCTAGAAAATTATAATTAAAGACTCCTTCTGAAAAATTTGTCTCATCTTTATCCTCCGATAATTTGGTTATTTAATTAATCTACGAAACACATGTACGTAATATTTCAGTTTAGAGTGTGGTTTCAATAACAAAAGCCATTTACAATCCTTATACTGAAGACAAAGCTCCATAATTGATATTCAGAATACCAATTCAGTCATACATTCTATGCATAAGCTCTGATTCTAACATATTTTAAATCAATAAAATGTCAATAAATATATTGTATGACATGTTTGTTAAAGCAATGTGCCGTTCTTCAGAATACCGAGTCATACATTTTGTGCATACACCTTGATGTTACATCTTTTTCATAAATAACGCGTAAACAATCGTATGACCTATTTGTTCAAGAACTGTGTCGCTAGACCAACTATCTAACAACTATCTGACCTTGTATCCCCATGGATATGGTAAAAGCAGTTAATTCAAAATAAAGATAAGACTTCTTCAAAGACAACAGTTTATTAGTCCCGAAGCGTAACGTGGCTTGCTCTCGCCTTCCATGGCATCCTTTGATGGACTGGACACATATCTGTATAGTCGTTTCATTAAAGACGCAGGCGTCGTGCGTATTGCCTCTATTCTATACTGTTCTTATATAGAGACAGATGACATACAGTTTTGAGTCCAACCAAAAGCTGAGCTTTTGGGAGCAAAATATAAATATTTGGTATTACTGTAGCGAAAACACATAAATAGGAAACATTAAAATTGTTTAACATGAAATGCATAAATATCCAGTCCTTGACCAGAATGTACGTTTTCTCAGTTACCTCAACCTTAACACAAATCGTCCATCATTTTACGAGAGATTAAACTTTTTTAAAGGTTGAATCATATTTTTTTCTATGTAATATAAACGTTATCCTTAGTTTAGTGGTGATCGCGCTGGTTCTGTTATGAATTAACCATAGCGTTAGGTCGGATTCTCCCAATCCCTATCTTTTTTAATTCTAAATAGGGGTGAGGGGGGGACTATATCCCTCAGATATTGATTATGACATTGCTAATTGCTAATAGTAACCTATTGATAGTTATCTGAACACACAGATTTCATTATACATGTATTATGTATCAAAGTATAATTTTCTCGTAAACTAAGGTGGAAAGATATTTTCATAATTTTTATTTATTAAAATATGGTTCAAATACTTCCGTATATGATTTACTTCAGATAATTTTTCATCTGTGAATTCTGGCAATCGCGTATAACTTTACAATTGTAAGTATCCCCGTCCACCATATCACTCTGGTTTTTCCTTTATGGAGTAACCTCCCCTTTATTTCCGTTTAGAAATAAGTTTACACCTATAACTATTTGGCCAATGCACCTCCATCGACCAGGTAGCTTAATACTTGATAAGTTTATTCTTCATTCGATGACATATAATACTGACAACTGTCTAAAAGCCCAGAAATTGAATATTAGGTAGAAGAGAAAAGAAAAGACATATCTTAAATGTTGCAATGGGTGACGTCAGATCAATATTGGTTTCCCCTGGTTACAGAAGAGAAGGAAGCACTTCCACTACAGAAAACCCACATACGAATAATGCTGTGGGATAATGTGTCATGTGTATCAGCTCGGATTAGTGTCATGCTCTCACTGGGATAGAGCCATTGAAATATGCGCCCTTACTACTGGAACTATAAGTCCATTTTAAATTCAAATTATAGAGTACTATATCCATTATCAAGTTAGTGTACAATGTAAGTATACAGGTTTGTTAACTGAACGAAACACAACGTACGATAATAAATGAAATATGTAAAAAAAAAAACTTATTAACATGAACATATCAATAAAATGTTAAAAATGTAAATATCAATTATATATCGAATGTTTATAGAGTAATACGTGAGATTATACATTATAAAATATCACTTATTTATACTTATATATCATTTGTTTTTCACATTTTGACCCCGTGTATCACCAATGAATACAAGAAAGACAACTCAGCTGTACAGTCTGTCACTAACATTTATTTTTGGCATAATGTTTCTAGTACCAAACACCTTTTCTATGTTCAGTGTCACCAGATTATCTTTTTCTGGAGATACGTATATTCACGAATGGCAAAACTGACGCAATTAACGCATAACAGAAATACCTTGCGAACTGTACTTAAATGAAAACATTACTCTGACCTCAGTGACGCATTGATTGGCGCTGTTACATCAGTTTATTTTGAAGAACATAACTCCTGGATACTAAAGCATTTGAATGACAACGTATAAAATACATATTTTACTCTCTACTTGATTTTACAACCAGTTCTATATTACAGAAAAGCAATTATGTAAATCATGAAAATTAATTACACTTTCGAATGGCAAACATAACCAGGTAATTTGAAAATAGAATAATTCAGTTTGGAATGCATTTAAAATAATTAGAATAGTACTTAGCAAGATGAGGTCTTAAAATGTGTTATGAATGCATCGATGACGGATTCATTTGAAGGCGCGCTGTATATGCATTATTCAATCACGTGCTTTATACATTGGAAGTTGAATTGAGATAAAGTTTACAAATATTACAGTAATGCTTTTCTGTTGTGTAATAAATTAGTTTTGTTCCGAAGTAGAAAGCTGGTGTTCCGAACGGTTAGGTGTATTGGAGCTAGGGAACCGAGACATACGGTTTTCCCTGTGTCTATGTAGTCTCTTTTCCTTTGTCAACTCAAATAGAGGCTAATGAAATAATGCGTTCTGCTAGGCTGGGT